TTATAAAAAAAAGTTATATTTTGAGGTTGGATAATATTTCACAATGTGGACATGCCATAATTTCACCACCCTCCTGTTGTTAGGCAGTTGTAGCAACGTTTTACAACATAGAAAAAATGACTGTTGATGAATGCACTCATTCACAACTATCTAAATGTGTCCTCAAGATAAATCCCTAAAAGTGGCATTAGTAAATCAAAGGACATGAACTTTCTCAGGACCTTGATATTTAAGCCACAAAGTTCTCTGTTCAAACTCCCCAGCACAATATGAGGGCAACCACATTACTCCTTGACAGCACTAGATACTTTTATATTAATCTTCATCAATATGATAGATTAAAAAGGATTTTTCATTTTAATCTGCAGTTCTTTGGTTAATAATGAGAATTAATATTTTTAAAATGTTTATAAACCATTTTAATTTCTTATTTATAGTACTCTCTGTTTATGTCCTTTATTCATTTTTTTCTAATATGATATAGTGTTTTTTCAAAAACTGATGTGAAAGAGTTCTGATAAATTAAAATATATAACAAATCTGTCTGTCATGTGTTGCCTGCATGTTCCCTCAGTTTGAACACACATGGTTCTTGGTTCTTCCATGGTAAAAGCTCCAAACTTTTCTAAAATGGAACTGGTACAATCTAATCCCCACCAGAACCACGCCTAACAATACCACCTTTGCGCCTTTATACTCAATCTGCTCACTGGGTGCTGTTTTTAAGTCCCAAGCTCAAGGGATACTAAGACCAGCCCAATGAGCCCACAGTACTATGTGCTAACCAAGTGCTAGATTAGAAAATACAGAAACACTCAGAAATGCTTCTTCCTCCCCTGTACTTGGAATCCCTCAAATAACAAGCTGCTTATCACAGTTCAGGGTAAAACACTGTCTTTGGTCCCCCGAAAGATCACCTGTGGTTGGAAGGCAGAGTAACAGAAGACAAAGAGCATGAGCTCTGGAGTCGAGAAACCTAGTTTCAGAATCCTGGCTCTGTCATATTCTTGCTGTGTGATCCTGGTCAAGTCATTTTGCCTCTCTGGGCCTCAATTTCCTTATCTATAAAGTGAGAATAAAACTGTTTCAGGGTTACCATGAGGATTAAATGAGATAAAAGATGTAATGTTTATAACCAGGGGTCTGATGTGTGGTAGGTGCACTTCAAAAAATGTGATTTTCCTTCTCTGATGGTGCTAAATCAGTTACTTATTTAATTCAAATGATCTTACATAAAATGTTGGCCTGAAATAGTTAGCTGTCCCAGCAAAGCATCATCTGGGTAAAAATCATTTAGGTCAGCTTTCTGTCAACTGCAATTTCCACTGCGATAATTATGCAGTCATCAACCACCAGTGCCAGACAACAAAAACCCCAAAGCTGATCTTACTGAAATTGCTAAATACAGTAATTACTTGATTCTCAAGATCATGATCACCAATTCTTTTAGGAAAGCAACAGAAATCTTTGTAATTATAGAAGCAAAAGGCTGATTAGTTATCTCAGACAGTGGTCTCTACAACAGGCTTTTGGTCACTGCCCAGAATGGCAGCATACTCAGAAGTCTTTCTCAAATTGCTGCTTTCTCACATTCCATACTCTGCAAGGAACCATGTCAACAATAGAACTGAAAGAAAAAAGACAGAAAGAAAGGATATTCTTTGAAATGTAGCCTTCTTGGCACTCTTTCCTGGCAAGAAGTTGTAGCCTGGTGAAATAATCTCTAGAGGAAAGCATACTTTAGGAAATCTATCAGCATAACCCCTTTCTATGGAAAAAGCAAGAAACACATTCTCCCTGTAAGTGTAGATTCCTTTAGGAAAGAAAAGGAAGCAAAATATCATTTACTAAGCACCTACGTTCAAGTGCTGTACTACATGCTTTAATTATATTATCTCTCAAATCAAGCTATGAGGTAGGTCTTATTCTTCCTTACGGACCATAGGTAACTTGCTCAAGGTTTTATAGTTATTAAGCGAAAACATTCAGCTCCAAGACTCAGGTCTGTCCAACTCTGAAACCTGTTTCTTGAGCCAGCCCTTGCGGCCTAGTGGTTAAAAGTTTGGTGCACTCCACTTCAATGGCCTGGGTTTGGTTCCTGGGCACGGAACCATACCACTCATCTGTCAGTAGCCATGCTGTGGTGGTGGCTCACATAGAAGAACTAGAAGGACTTACAACTAGAATATACAATTATGTACTGGGGCTTTGGGGAAGAAAAAAAAAACAGACCAGGGTGGGGGGGCGGGGTGGAGATTGGCTACAGATGTTAGCTCAAGGCAAATCATTCCCAGCACAAAAAAAAAGAAAAAAGAAACCTATTTCTTTTCACTATAACTTCATGAAATCTCAAAATGATCATGTCAATTCTCCATCATGAGAAAGAACCCAATTTAAGTTTTGGTTCCAAAACAAATAAGCCCAACAAACTGTCCACCAAAAGGATGATCATTTCTGTCAATTAGCAGATTGCTTTTCTGCCTTTTAACAGTCTTTAAACTAAACTGAAGGATTCATACAAAGTGCTCTTTTTTAATCTTAAATCTGTAAAGAAAATGGTACCTGTTGACAACCACAGAGCACTGAAGCAGAAGCAAGTATAAAACAGGTACAGGCTTCTCAACCACTCCACGGATGTCTGCCAACAAAATGCTGATAAAATCCAGGAAGCAGTGCTTGGCTCGACTCCCAGCCTCTTCTCCATGGCCTTCCAGAAAGGCGGAACCAGTCCCCTAGAAAGACAGAAAGAGAAGAAATTACACGCCAAGTAATTAATAATTGATTCCTGGAAATGTGGGATGCTAGAGAACGTGACAGATTAGGGGGAAGAGAAATTTCAAGTTTGTCTTTCACTGCTCATCCCTGCCCATAAATCTTAAACCTCAGCTTTGACATAGCCTATAATTATCAGGAAAAAAACACAGCAAGGGATATGAAATGAATCTACTGTAAAACTGAAACACTTTCTATTCCACTATTTTCTAATCTAACAGAAAATCGTCTATGTGGAAGAACGGAAAGAGCACTAACCTGAAAAAAAGATCTGAGTTTCATTTCCAGTTCTGCTACTAATAGCTTTGTGACTTTGACCAAACACTTTCTTATTTATGAAAAGAAGAGGTTGGACCGTCAGAGGTAAACTAATAACCTGAGGGTTTTGTCTAGCCATGTTTTAAAAAAATTTTAATGGGGGCCGGCCCTGTGGCTTGGTGGTTAAGTGCGCGCGCTGCGATGCTGGTGGCCGGGGTTCGGATCCCGGGTGCGCATCGAGGCACCACTTCTCCGTTCATCCTGAGGCCGAGTCCCGCATACAGCAACTAGAAGGATGTGCAGCTACGACATACAACTATCCACTGGGGCTTTGGGGGGAAAAAATAAAATAAATAAAATTAAAAAAAAAAAAAAAATTTTAATGGGATTGTCTTTAGGCAAGGCATGCACTCTCCAGTTTGCTACTGTCTCCACCACTATTATCTTAAAAATCTATCCAATTTATATTTCGATGTCACCTCCCTGATCCATAGAATCACTTGTAATTCCTGACTTGAATTCATATATACATTCAACAAATATTTACATAGCCCCTATTATGTGCTAGGCATTGTGCTGGCTACTCTAGAATCTAGGGGCTGAATGATTGATGTCCCTTCCAGAAGAAAAAAATTTTTCCATCAGTTTCTTCTCTCTTACACAACTTCCCTATACTGTATAAATTATTATATAAATCTTGTCAACAATATGAGGGTGATTAAGTTCTGAAGAAGTAATTTAAAAATCTTCTGTCCTAAATGTGCACCTGTCATCCACATCTGGCAAAAGGCACAGACTCACAACCCCCACCCCTAGCCAGCATACAGGGAGATTGGCATTGCATGGTTTGGGTATCAATGCTGACTAATACCAGGAAATAGACACACACACACACACACACAGTGCTGCAAAACTGAGGTACAGTCCACCCAAGAAAAGGCTTTCACTTCATCTTTCTCACTCACTTCCACTCATTCCTATTTCTAGTTGTTTTGTAGTTGTGTGTTAGGGAGCAGGAGGCAGAAGGGAGGCGTGTGGGCCAGAGACATGCTCAACAGATTACGAAATGAAGCCTAAGTCACAAAGTACATCCAGCAACTTCTCTAGCCTCCCAAGATGGAATGGTGTGCATGTGTATGTATCTTACCCAACACATTCCTGCCTACCACAAAAAGATTTTAAATTCAAGGTGACTCAACACCTGTCATCAATAGCGTGACAGGTGGGCGACAGAAGCACAAAAGAAATGAATAGGCTTTGAAAATGGGAGTAATCAACACTATTGGATTAGCAAGCTGATTAGAAGTGCAAAGTCTTACAAATCATGCATAAGAAAGAGGCAGGACTAATTTCCAGTGAACTCCCAACCAGTCATTCCCCTGAAACCCACAATCACCCAAGGGCACAAATCACTGCTAGAGTCCAGTCCAAGCCTTGCTGACCAGAGGCAGGAACAACAACACATCACCAAGATCGAAATGGTTTGTTGCAGAATCAAAGGGTAACAACCTAGGGCGAGAACACACACCCCCACAATACTCGACAAATGAAAATCTAGAAAAGCTTGCAATAGTTCTGGCATTTAGGGCGTTACAAGTACACCCGAAATAAAAGCTCTCTCTGTTGCAGCAGCTGTTCAGACAGAGCAGGGGGTAATGTTTACTTCATACTTCAGGTTGATGGGGGATGTATCATAGTTCAGTCTGTCAGCTACATACGTGGAACTCCATTTATGTACATAGCGATAAGATATGTTTGAATAACGACAGGGCACGTCTGAAACAGCCTATTCAGCTGGTATGAGTAATCAAGAATAAAGCTCTTTTTAAAAAAAAAGTCTCAGATATTCAGGAAAGTTACAGAACAGACTGCCATGAATAGCTTTGCTTATATTTGCAGACATTGTTTTCCAAATAGCTGGAAAAATGAACAGATTGTTCCGGGAGGTCGTCTTCCCAATTTGTTCCTAGCCTCCAGTCTGTTAATCACATAAGAAAGCACAGGGAGAGTCAGCTAATGCTCTTCACTGACTGCATCTATTGCCGGTTGGGCACAGCCACCACGAGGTGAGAGACGGCAAAGCTTTCCTGGAAGTCCGCCTGACATTTTCACCTTTGACTTCCTTCATTGCACCTTTGTGCTCACTGCAGTCACCACAGGACCCTCTGTGGGGCATAATTTTCCAAGTCCTGCATCAGGCAGGTCTCGCATCATAATTTACACATCGTGCTCAGCCCCGCCCCCCTTATTCTGCATCAATTTTCTCTTAGTGGGGAGACCAAAGACCAGAGACAGCAGCTAAGGCGGGGCTGCACACATCGAGGGAGGAAGGAAGACAGCAGTCTGTCTGTCAGGGAACGGAGGAAGTTGCAGGACCAGGCCCGGGCCCGAGAGAAACGGGGTTCAGCCTGGGACTCGAGATCCGCACCTGCAAAGTCAGAAGCAGCTGGCTGTCCTAGCCAGGCCAGGAGCGCCACCTCCGGGTCCCAACACCCGGCCAGCGCACCCCCACAAATAGCCCGTCCCGCTTGCCCCTCCCCGGAGCTCGTGGTCCTCGGCCTGGCAGCCAGCCGCCCCCGGCCACCTACCGGGGCTCAGGGCCACACAGCGGGGCCCCGACTCTCGGCGGCCTCCGCCTCCTCCCGGTCCATGGGGTCGGGGCCCCAACTTTCGCTCCCCTCACCCAGAGGAGGAGTTAGAGGCATAAGGTAGTGCGGACTCCCCACCCGGACAGCTCCCTGTCGCCTCAGCCTCCCTGGACAGCGACGGCGGCCGGAAACGCCGCCTCCTCCCACCTCTCCGGCTCAACCCGGAAACACACTCTTCCTGCTAAGCAAGCCTTCCTAGCCCCCCGGAAGCTCAATTCCAGCCGCGAGCCCGAGGAGGAGGAGGGGCAGCGCTGGGGGGTAGAACTACGCACGAGCGACGGAACTTGGGCCCCCAGGCTGTCGCCTCCCGCTCTCCACAGGCAGTCTGCACCTTCGCCTGCCCTGCGCGAGCCCCAGGCCCCCGACTCAGGCAATACCCACAAAAAAGATGGCGGCAACGGCAGCACCCCCCCACGGTTTAGCGCCCAGCCGCGCCATTGGCCAGAGCCTGGAGTGAAGCCGCTGCGGATTGGTCGAGAGCACTGCGGGGGTGGGGGTGGAGCTGCAGCAGCCTGGAGCCGGGAGTGGGCAACGCGGCGTGAGCAGCGGCCCCAGGCTCCTGGAGCATCGCGCTCGGAGAAGACTTCGCCGTTCGGGGCCGCAGCCTGGTGAGCTCAGCCCCCTTCAGGCCCACCCCTACATCCCAGCCGGGGCTTCTCCGAGCCGGCGCTGATCGATGCGACACACCCCGGGGACCCTATCGCGACTCCATCGCGCCATATCGCGACATCATCGTGCCCTGTCGAGACTCCATTTTGTCACAGCCCTTTTCAATATATAGCTCTATTTTTTTAATTTGCCTTGTCATCTTTGGGGGCTGTCCCATGTCGTGATTTTGCCGTGATCTCCGTGACATCACCGCGCCATCGTGAAGTGTGATCTCATCGCCGCCTTGTCGTGACTTCATCAATGTCGTGTTGTGACCTGGCTGCAGCGGGACAGGTGGTGACCGCCAGGATCCCTCCTCCCCTTCTCATCTCCCCATCTCAGCAGCCCCGCTTCGATTATCCGGCTTTTGGAGTCTCCGTTGTCCTGGAAGCTACCCGGGACCCCTTCTTGCTTCTCCAGCCCCTGCCGCCGTCCACAGGCTGGTAGCGGGGCAGGGAGGGCTAAGAGAGGGAGCGCAAGGGGTTAATTCTGCTGCTGCTGCTGCTGCTGCTGCTGCTGCTGCAGCTGCAGCTGTAGCTTCTGCCCGAGGGAGGGAAAGGAGAGGAGGCAAGGAGCCTGCGGGGGCGACTGAGAGCCCTGGCTGGAGGGGTGGGGTCTCCAGGGGGGCCTCCAAACCTTCCCTGGTCAGCGCCCTGCATCCTCAGTTCTGCTGAAGCTGGTCTCTTGCCTCTTCTGAACAAGAGAGAGGAAAGGAAACCTAGGATGCCCTTTTCCCTCATGTCCTCCTGAGTCCGGATAATCGAACTTCACTCATGTATGTCTCCATTCCTCCCTGTCTGTTCTCACCACTCCCTCCATGTGTGCTTGGTGGAGGGAGATAAAACCCCGCCTCTGGTGCTAGGGGATAGCTGAGCAGTGGGGCCAGCCTCCTCCCACTCCCAGGAGATTGGTGAGGAGAGCTGTCCAGCGGAGCAGCAGGATGCATGGTTCTTCTTTCCCGCTTTCTGGAGGTGACCTTGGACCAGGTCCCTTCTTCATCCCTAAGGATTTGAGGGTCCAGCCCCTTAAAGAGGCTCCCCAAGGGAGGTTAGTCCTGAGGAGCCCATTCCTCCTGATCCTCCCCTCCCTCTGTGCTAATCCCTCCCTCCATCCTCCACTCCCACCCCCACCCCCACCTCTCCTCTGCAGAGGGATGCTCAGTCCCTCTTGTGTTCACAGTTGGGCAAGGCGGGCATCATGGCCTCGGATTGTGAGCCAGCTCTGAACCAGGCAGAGGGCCGAAACCCCACCCTGGAGCGCTACCTAGGAGCCCTCCGTGAGGCCAAGAATGACAGCGAGCAGTTTGCAGCCCTGCTGCTAGTAAGGAACTGACTGAAAATTGGGAGGTGGGAAGGGCTGGGTGGTTGGGCCCCCTAGGAATGGGGTCAACAAGTCCCCAATGATATATAGGCAACCCTGGAGGCACCAAAGAAGGCTTAAGACGCCTACCTTTGGACTCTTTTTTGCTCCTCTGAAGATGGAGGCAAAGGGGAGAATGGGGGAGAATAAGGCTTGTGGCCCTAGGAGCCTTGGAGGAGGCTGCCTGGGTCTGCTCTCTGGGGCGTCCCAGAGCAGATGGGAGCTGACTCATAGGGTAACAGCAGCAGGTAGTAACTAGTGCAGAGTACTTGAGGGCTGGGGATGATTGTTCTGGGGGTGGAGAGAGTAGCAAAACTGGAAGTGACCAGGAAGGGGTCCCAGGGGATGGCCAGGATGGCAGTAGGTAGGTTGAGGGTAAGGGATCTGATTTGGGGCTTCACCGTATTGGAGGCACCCCAGCTGGGGACAGCAGAGCAGGAGCTGCAGTGCTGGGAAGGGGGGGTTGGTGTGTGGGGGGTGAAGGGAGGAGGGAGTACAGCCACTGTTTGCCATGGCAACAAGGAGAAGGCTCCAGAGTCAAGGGCTCACACTGCAGCAGAGGAGGTGTTTAGGTGAAATATAAGGGGAAATGTTTTGACAGGCAGAGCGGCGAGACACAGGAGCCATTTCCCCTGAGAAGGTGGCGGGAATGGATGAGAGACTTCTCTGGAGGGAACAATTAGGGAGGGACCCTAAATCCTTGGAGAATTTTAAACATGGAATTCTAAGCCCCGTCCAACTCAGGTTGTAGGCATTCCAGTGCTGGCTGGGCATTTAGATTAGACATCAGAAGGAACTTCCCAACTCACCGGGTGATGAAACAGCAGAATGAGTAGTTGAGGAGGACTAGACCTCCCTTCCGCAATTATAATCATAGATGAGGGGTCCCAGAGCTCACACCAGTCTGTCTCTGGGGAGAAGGAAGAAGCAGGATGAAATGACCTCTGGGAGGCTTCCTGAGCCCAGAGTGAGTCCCATTACATAACTTAATCCTGCTAATGGTCAATGCACCAGGGTGCAGGGGATAGTCTTTTCCACCTCTTTCTTTCATCCTACTGACAGCACATACCCCCTTAGGTGACCAAGGCAGTCAAAGCAGGTGACATCGATGCCAAAACTCGGCGGCGGATCTTCGATGCCGTGGGCTTCACCTTCCCCAATCGTCTTCTGACCAGCAAGGAGGCACCAGATGGCTGCCCCGACCATGTCCTCCGGGCCCTGGGTGTGGCCCTGCTGGCCTGCTTCTGCAGTGACCCTGAACTGGCCGCCCATCCCCAGGTCCTGAACAAGATCCCCATCCTTAGCACCTTCCTCACAGCCCGGGGGGACCCCGACGATGCTGCCCGCCGTTCCATGATTGATGACACCTACCAGTGCCTGACAGCTGTGGCAGGCACACCCCGCGGGCCCCGGCACCTCATTGCTGGTGGCACCGTGTCTGCCCTGTGTCAGGCATACCTGGGGCATGGCTATGGCTTTGACCAGGCCCTGGCACTCTTGGTGGGGCTGCTGGCTGCTGCTGAGACACAGTGCTGGAAGGAGGCAGAGCCCGACCTGCTGGCTGTGTTGCGGGGCCTCAGCGAAGATTTCCAGAAAGCTGAGGATGCCAGCAAGTTTGAGCTCTGCCAGTTGCTACCCCTCTTTCTACCCCCTACAACCGTGCCCTCTGAATGCCTCCGGGATCTGCAGGCCGGGCTGGCACGCATCCTGGGCAGCAAGCTGAGCTCCTGGCAGCGCAACCCTGCACTAAAGCTGGCAGCCCGCCTGGCGCACGCCTGCGGCTCCGACTGGATCCCGGCCGGCAACTCCGGGAGCAAGTTCCTGGCCCTGCTGGTGAATCTGGCGTGCGTGGAAGTGCGGCTGGCACTGGAGGAGACAGGCACAGAGGTGAAAGAGGATGTGGTGACCGCCTGCTATGCCCTCATGGAGTTGGGGATCCAGGAATGCACCCGCTGTGAGCAGTCCCTGCTGAAGGAGCCACAGAAGGTGCAGCTCGTGAGCATCATGAAGGAGGCCATCGGGGCTGTCATCCACTACTTGCAGCAGGTGAGGCTGCAGGGGCCTGCAGAGGGAGCCTAGTGTGGAGGGAGCCAGGAGGCGAGGGAGAGGGGGACGTGAAGCTCCTGCACTTCGCTGTAATGGGGAGACAGGGAAGATGAAGATGCACTGCGCAGGCTGGTCTCCAGCACTCTGGGAGTAGTGTGTGACCGAGCCTCCCTCTCCCTCCCTCCCTGAGCCTCCACACAAGCACCAAACCACACACCATATGCGCACTCACATCACAGCACACACACGCGCACACACAACACAGGAACCTCCCACTCACAACCCTTCCCCCTCCCCCCAGTACACACGCACAAAATCGAAGCAGTCTGTTCTGCTCGATCTATAGCATTGTTTTACACACATACACATACAAACTTGCAACGGTGCAGGGGAAAGGAGCAGGGCTGCCTGGTTCCTGGCCTCTGGAGAGGTTTAGCTAACTCCTCCCAGGTCAGAGCTGATGTAGAGGGAGTGTTTACTTAGCCTTGGACCTGTGAGTTTCCTTCTAGCCTTGAGATACTTTAGAGATGGGGGCAGAAGGGGATGCGACTTGAGTCCCAGCAAGTGCAGGGCTATGTTGTCTGAAGTCCAGTTGGATCAGCAGACATGCGCTGAGGGCCTGCTCTGTGCCAAGCCCCTGTTGGGTGCGTCCCTACCATATGCTGGGTGCTGGGTACACAAGGCAGAATGAGGCTAAGTGCCTGCCTTTGAAGGGCTCGTGGGCCAGAATTCCCTTCTAGTTGTGTTGCTCCTAGACTGGCTGGCATGCTGGCCAGGCGCGGAGGGTCTCTGGTCCTGCTCCATCTCAAGGGGGGTCCCATGGCAACAGGTGGGGTCGGAGAAGCAGAAGGAGCCCTTTGTGTTTGCATCCGTGCGGATCCTGGGTGCCTGGCTGGCCGAAGAGACCTCATCCCTGCGCAAGGAAGTCTGCCAGCTGCTGCCCTTCCTCGTCCGCTATGCCAAGACCCTCTACGAGGAGGCCGAGGAGACCAATGACCTCTCCCAGCAGGTGGCCACCCTGGCCATCTCCCCCACCACCCCAGGGCCCACCTGGCCAGGGGACGCTCTCCGGTAAGTTTGTAGTTACAGTCTGTCCAGCCAGACGGTTCTAAAGAAAAGTGTAACACAGGGACACCTCCTCCCCTCAAGCTGGGCTGTGCTGGGCTTCCAGATTGCCACATGAGATTGCCTTTAGGATTATTTCTGTTTGTTTTGGGGGTCTTGTTCCCACAAGACTCCTGGGCTGCCAGCATCCCTTGCCAACCCCAGATTTCTCTATCAAAAGAGAACTCGTGCTTACTGAGCATCTGCTACCTGCCAGGCATTTTGCTATACGCTTTACCAAAACGATCTCATTTGGTCCACACAGCAAATCTATGACATAAGTCTCATCCATGTCTTCCGGATGAGGAACCTGAGACTCACACCATGTGGCAGAGCCCAAGTTTGAGCCCAGGCTGTGAGGCTCTGAAGCTTGTGATTTTTCTGCAGTACTTTCAAGGATGTATCCTCCTTCTCCCCTGCTTCCATTTCTCTTAGGTGGGATGCCCCCAAAAAGAGAAGCCTGTGCCTTCATCTCTCCCAGCCCTTTATTCACCTGTCCCTTCCATACCCCCAGGCTCCTTCTGCCCGGCTGGTGCCACCTGACAGTCGAAGATGGGCCCCGGGAGATCCTGATCAAGGAAGGGGCCCCCTCACTCCTGTGCAAGTATTTCCTGCAGCAGTGGGAACTCACATCCCCTGGCCATGACACCTCAGTGCTGCCCGACAGCGTGGAGATCAGCCTGCAGACCTGCTGCCACATCTTCCTCAACCTCGTGGTCACCGCGCCAGGGCTGATCAAGTGAGGCCAGGGAGGAGGTCAGAGGAAGCAAGGGGGGCTGCTTACACTTGCCCCGAATCTTCAGTCTCCTACTTTGCTTCCCTGTGCCCAGGGGTTCCTAGTAGTGTGAGAGTGAAAGGGTGTCAGAATAGACAGAGCCGCCCCACAGAAGGATTTGGCTTACTTGGAACCCCCCTGGGCATGTCTGCCTGCTCTAGCCATAATCCAGTCTCCGCTCCCCAGATGCCATGAGTGGGGCCCCCACGTCGCAAACCCTGGTCCTGGCTCTGCTAACCCCCAGCCTTCCCCCATATTCCCTCCCTTTCTCCCCAGGCGAGATGCCTGCTTCACGTCTCTTATGAACACCCTGATGACATCGCTGCCCGCACTAGTGCAGCAGCAGGGGAGGCTGCTTCTGGCTGCCAATGTGGCCACCCTGGGCCTCCTCATGGCCCGGCTCCTTAGCACCTCTCCAGGTAAGCCCCGGGGACCCAGTCCTAATGGAGTGGGCAGAAGACCTGGGTGGACCTGTTGTGTTCTGGGCATAAGCCACCATTTTCAGAAAATGGTTTTATAGAATTTTCCAATCAAGAGGAAATCTCTCAAGTATGTCTCCATCCCCCACCTCACCCCACCCTTCTTCCCAAAATGATAACGTTCTCTTCCTTCTGAAGACTTTTAAGGCAAGATCTGGTGGGTGTAAGTACAGGCCTGCTCAGAGGCACAGGCACAGGCACCTGGAATTCCCAGCAGCTCAAAGAGTCTGAATCCAGTGTTTTCAAGGTGGAGCCGCCCCCTCCCAGGCCTTGAGTCAGAAACATGCCTGCTCTCCATTGAGGTTTTTCTCTGCTTAGCACCTCACCTCCCTCATGACAGGCTTCAAGCTCAGTGCTCCTCTGCACATACCTTCTCCCCTCACTGCCTCACTCTGGCTGTGTGCAGGGGGAGGGGCGTCCCCTCCAGCCCCACCAGCCCTCTCTGTCTCCCACTTTGGCCGTGGGTGTCTGCTTGGGTCCCTCTGTCCCAGCCTGTTCCCTGTGCCCCATCTGTCAGGTTGGAGGAGCTGAGCAGATGCCCAGGAACAGGGTGTAACAAGCCCGTACCCTCAGCTGCCTCTGTTTTCCCTGGGTGGGGATCCCAGCAGGGTACCCGGCAGTGGGAAAGGGAGGGTGTCCCAGTGGACCAGGAGCTCCCGCTGCCCTCTACTAGCCCCCACGCTCCCTCAGTCCCAGGCTGCATCTCCATAGCCCCCGAGTAGAGCCCCAGTGCTGGCTCACCCACAGATGCCACCAGGTTAGACTAACAGCCTCCGGGAGAAGCATCTGCAGTGCACGCGTGAACCCCTGCCAGGCAGGTGAGCAAAGCCCAGGTCACCAGCCTGTGGTCCCCTCTGGCACCCTCTTCTGGCCCAAGAATCAAATTGGTGCATCTCCTTAGCCTGTTGAGGAGCTCTAGGCCCAGCACAGGCTCTTGTCAGCACTCAGACTACAGGAGGATCTGACCATGAGATTGAGTGTACCAAGACTATTACATTTAATTCTCACAACAGATGTCTAAGATTAGCACTATTGGCCCCGTTTTACAAGTGAAGAAACGAGACCCAGAAAAGTGAATTACCCACAGTGAAGTCAAAGGTAGGGTTTGAACCCAGGCAGGCTGATGCCAGGCTGTGCTTCCGCTCCCTGAGTATGCCCACCCAGGAAGGGAAACTAAGGGTCTGGCAAAGCGGCCGGCCCTTCTGGTTCATGCCCCCACTCCTTCCTTGCCTTCTAGCTCTTCAGGGAACACCAGCATCCCGGGGTTTCTTCGCAGCTGCCATCCTCTTCCTGTCGCAGTCCCACGTGGCTCGGGCGACGCCTGGCTCAGACCAGGCAGTGCTGGCCCTGTCCTCTGACTACGAGGGCATCTGGGCCGACCTGCAGGAGCTCTGGTTCCTGGGCATGCAGGCCTTCACAGGCTGCGTGCCACTGCTGCCCTGGCTGGCCCCCGCTGCCCTGCGCTCCCGCTGGCCACAGGAGCTGCTCCAGCTGCTAGGCAGCGTCAGCCCCAACTCCGTCAAGCCTGAGATGGTCGCCGCCTATCAGGGTGTCCTGGTTGAATTGGCACGGGCCAACCGGCTGTGCCGGGAGGCCATGAGGCTGCAGGCGGGTGAGGAGACGGCCAGCCACTACCGTATGGCAGCCCTGGAGCAATGCCTGTCCGAGCCCTGAGGGGGTGCCCACTGGGGACTGACCCGGGGGCGGGCAGCGAGGGATGGAGGGAGGAGGCATCTTCCCTGAAGCCCCCAGACTAGACCCCCCTCCCCAAACTTCCCCCTCAAACACCCCAGCTTTCTGGCTTTTCTGAGGGCAAGGGCATGGTGCCCACCCTTCAAGTGTAAGGAACTGCGTACCGCCCCCTGGGCCCGCTCAGGGGCAGGGATTGGCTTGGAAATCAATGTGGCTGTCCCCGCCAGGCCGGGGAAGGTTGGAGCAGCCCCCAGGGAGGGGGGCACTAGGTGTCATTGTGCCCAATGTCTGGGTCCCCCACAGGAGGGAGGCCCCAGCGTAGAAGAGGGCTGGCAGGAGCTGGCTGCCTCAGCCCATGTGCCCTGCCGGCCAGGGCGTGGGCTCCCCTAGGCTGTGCCCCTCTGGCCTCCCAGGTCCACGTCCTTTAAATTGGCCATTTGGTTCTTGCCCTTGGCCCCCTTTGGCAAAGAACAGGCTCAGACCATTGACATCGCAGTTCTTCCTATCAACTTCAGTGACCCAGAGTCTGAACTGTCCCATCCTTCCAGGGAAACCTGGGGCAGACAGGCCTGGTGCGGGGTGGGGAATCTTCCACCTGAGCTTCCTTGAGGAGACCCAGGAGCCCTTGGGCCCTGGTCTCTAAGCTTTTGTGTCATGTTGCAGCAGAGTGACAGTGGGGGGTGGGGGGTTATTTATTTTGCCTGTCCTTATCCCTGATTGGATACCTGAGCATCTGATCCCTGTCCCTCTGGTGCCATCTGGCCCGGCTAAAGCCAGGAACAGGAGGGGCCCTTCCCCAGAATCCGCATGTTTCCCTAGTGACTGCACCCCGTCGCCATCGTGGTGCCTGGCTTTAACTCCCACCCCTGCTACGATTCCTCTGCAGAGAGACGCGACTGGCGGCTCCAGCAGGGACTACCTTTCTTATAAACCCGGGGGGACCCCCCCCAATCTGATCCCTTGCTTCCCGCCCCCCTTCCCTCCCCCAGTTCGTTCTGTGATTGCCAAGTTCAAAGCTGTGCACATGTGGACGCTCAATAAATGTTCATTGGTGACAAGATGGCTCCTGTGTGGTCTGTCCTGTACCTTCTCTTTCCCTTCCAGGCTCTAGCAGCTCACAACTACCATTTGCTGAATACATGCCCTGCTAAGCACACTTCACAAGTGCTGTCTCATTCAGCCCCCCCGCAAGAATCCTACGAAGCAGGCATTATCCCGGTTTTACAGGAGAAGAAACTTAGGCATGGGGAGGTGATTGGCTCAAGGCGTTGCAGAGCCAAGACTCCACGCAGACTATCCAACTTCCCAGCCCACACCCTTCGTTGCTAGAGCAAGGTTGCAAACTCAGATGTTAGTGTGGCCAAGCCTAGCGGGGGTTCTGGTGTGTACACATGAAGTCCTGCCACTCCACGTCAGTAGCGTGTTGCCAAGTGGCACTGCCACATCCTCCAATTTTTTTGTGTGTGTGTGAGGAAGATCGGCCCTGAGCTAACATGTGCCAATCCTCCTCTTTTTGCTGAGGAAGACTGGCCCTGGGCTAACATTCGTGCCCATCTTCCTCCGCTTTATATGGGACGCCGCCACAGCATGGCTTGATAAGCGGTGCGTCGGCGTGCGCCCGGGATCCGAACCAGCGAACCCCGGGTCGCTGCAGCGGAGAGTGCACACTTAACCACTTGCGCCACCAGGTCAGCCCCCACAGCCTCCAGTTTTCAAAGAGAAGTCAGAAATGCTAATTTTTATGTGAAATCTGATTTTTGAACATCGTTTTTTAATTAAATCACTACTACCCCAACAGAACATCTGCAGGCCAAATGTGGCTTTCAGGAACCAGCTGTTCTCTTCTGTTCTATGCCAAGTGAGAAGGGGAAGGGAAGGGCGTGAGAGCTTCAGCAGGAGACTGGAGCCGAGCACCCACTGCCTCACCAGGCCTGGGCCAAGCTGTCAGATTGGAGCCAGACCAGCCCCAAGCCCACACTCTCTGCAGACTTTTCTCCACCTAGGACCTCAAGCCTGCAAGCATTCACTGAGCACATCCTAAGTGCCCACCTGTGGTTGGCTCTGCATATACAGAGAGGAACATTTATTTATTGGATATCCTGAAAGTCATGTTCTTAGCATGGATTCCTTGAAAAATATAAAAAGACAGACCCTGCCCTCAAGGAGCTTAAAAGCTAGAGGGACAACAGACAGGGCAACAGACAGCTCCTAAAGGTGTAAGCATTTGCTTCTATGGGGGTCAGAACAAAGTGTGGCTGAAGCATGAGAGCCCCTCAGCCTGGCTGAATAAGCCCAGGAAAACTCAGAGGAAGTATTTGCTCTGAGACCTGAGGGTGAAAAGGGGCTTGCCAGGTAGACAAGCAGATGAACAGCAGGTATAAAGGCATGCAAGCTTGGGAACTGCAAGTAGGTCTTTAGTGCTACAGTGGAGAGTGGGAAGTGGTGGAAGATGAGGTTGGACCAGTGGGCATGGACCAGATCTTACAAGTCCTGGTATGCCATGCTAAGCTTAGATGTGGGATAATGTCGAGACTGCAGATTTTTGAGCAGACTGAACGTGATCCAGTTTGCATTTTAGAAAGATGATTTTGGCTGCAAAAGGAATGACTGAGGAAGGGAGCTCAGAGAGGCAGTAATAAGTCTCAACTAAGTCAGTGGCAGCAAGGATGGAGAAAGTATAGGTAGGAGTTAGTTAATAGGGCTCGGGGATTAATTGGAAGTGAAGAGGAATAAAAAGCCAAGGATAACTTCCAGATTCCTGATGTGGGCCACTGAGTGGATAACGGGGCCATTCACTGTCACGGGGAACGCTGGGAGAGAAATGGGTTTGTGCAAAATATAAGCTCATTTTGGTAAATGGTGAATTTGTGCTGCTTGTGGAATACCCAGGGGGCAGTTGCTTCTGCGGTCTAGAGCTCGGAAAGAGGTCTGAGTGCGTGACAGATTTGGGAGTTGTCAGTATAGAGGGTCCTTAGAGTCATGGGAGTAACTGAGATCATCCCAGGAAGTGAAAAGAGAAAGGAAGGGCCCCAAAGCAAGTGGCAACCACCCAGGGTTCCTACTCTCAAAGCACTCTCCCTGGTGTGGTGGGGGAGCCGAACCCTGCAGAAAGCCTCAAAATACAAGGCAGACTGAGTTCTGTACTTTAGTGAGGGATTGTCAGGGAGTTCTGGGCTCCAGAACAGGGAGGGGGCTAGGCAAACTGGGGGAGACCAAGCTTGCTCCTGGTGATTCAGCCGCGAGGGAAGGGGGGACCTGAGCTGCAGTTGTGATATCTAACCACGAGGTGGCACCTCAGTATCTCCTTGTGCCAGATTTCCCCCAGTCTGCAAACACTGAGAGAGACCCAGAGCAGGAGGTTGTCAAAGGCTGGGAGGAGGGTGGCTGTGTCAACAATAAAGGAGGCAGGCCTGAGTTTTTTCTTAACGTAGAGTCCAAATGCAAGCTCACTTGTTGAAAAGAGAGGGAAAGATTTGAGCCTAGGAGAAGAGCAATATGTCAAGTATGCCAAATGGGAGTCCATGACACATGTTTGAACATGTGTCAAGATATGTCCTGTGTTTCCATGTGTATGTGTGTTTCCCATGAGTGTCTCTGTGCATGTTGTGTGCCCCATGTGCCCAGGAGCATCTGCATGTGTACCCCTGTGCACATCCCAGGCCTCCACATGTATGCACGTATCCCAGAGAGTGGGCAACCAGCAGTGCCCACCTCCATACCTCAGAAAGTGAGGAGTCCCTTGGCCCTGAAAGAGAAGGGAAACAGAGTCTGCAGCCACAGGACCCTGAAGGTTTTAGGAGCCCCAAAGCAGCAGCAGATCATGGAGAACATCCCTCTCCCCAGTAGCCATAAGCAAAATCATTTATCAAATGATGTCCTCAGATTATACCTGGGTTCTATGTCTAGCTACCCAGGGTCATGTTCACATGAAGGCTTCCTGAAGGATCCCTCAATAGGCTGAGAGATTCATAAACTCATCCATTCATTCATTTATCATTTATTTAATACGCATTCACTGAGCACTTGCCATGCACCAAGCCCAGGGCAGGACACATTTTCTATTTCTCCTTTCATCTTCTTCTTGTGAAGTATTTGATGAGGCAGGAAAGGAAAATTAGTTGCAGCTGTAAGAGCCTGGAATGCTGGTTAGAGTGTTTAAAGAGTTTTTCCCTGAAAATGGGCCATGGGGAGCTCCAGAAGAGTTTTTAGTAGGGGGTGACATGGTCTAGTCACTCTTGTTGCTGAATGGAATTGCAATTAGATCAGAAGAGATATATGAATGAAGGCAGGAGACCAGTTACGGCACTGTTGCAATGGTCCAGGCAGTGGTTCTCAAACTTTACTGTGCTTCTGAGCCACCTTACAGGCTTTTTAAAATACAGATTGCTGGGGCCCATCCCCAGAGTTACTGATTTAGTAGGTCTGAGGTGGGGTCCAAGAACTGGCACTTCTAACAAGTTCCCAGATGTTGTAGGTGATGCTGGTCCAGGAACCACACTTTGAGAACTACTGGTCCATGAGAAAGAGTATAGTAGGTAAGGTGCTGACAGAGGGGTGGAGAGAGATGTTTAAGGGTTAGAAGTGACAACAGTCTATGAGGATTAGCTTACAGGGGAGAGGGGAAGGGCAGAGACTGGGATGATTCTGTTTTTAATTTTAAGGATGGTGGTGCCATTTACAGATGGCACCTGTGTCTCTTATAGAACACAAGAGACGCAGGTTGGGGTTGGTGGCAGGGCTGGAGATGTTGAGTTGTGTTTTGGACCTGGAAAGTCTCAGATGGCTGCAACAAGATGTCTGGGGGAAATATTCAGCTGGCAATTGCATCCACGGGTCTGGATTTCTAGTGACAGACACAGACTGGAGATAACAAGGTTGGGAGATAACAGAGTACAGGTAGTCGTTAAAGTCTTGAGCGAGGATGAACTCACTCATGAAAAGTATAGATAGCAAGAAAAGGAAGAAGCCTAAACCCTAAGAATGAATAACCGACATTGAGGTTGTTGGTGAAAAGAGAGGAGACAGAAAAGAAGACTGAGAAGTGGTCAGAGCAGAAAGAAGGAAAATGAGGCAAGAAGGGGCTGTCTTAAGCTGCAGGGAAGTTGGGTGAGGAAACCCAAGGAAGCCACCGGACTGGCAGCCCATCCTGTCATTCTGGCCTTCCCAAGCCTGCTGGAGAGAGCAAGGGATCGCAGAGCTGGGCACAGACATCATTATCGTCGCTGCTCCTAGACTTTTCCCAAAAGGGTCCACCAACCTGCTGTCATGCACTGACACACATACACCTGTCCTGGAGCCTCACTTCTGATGTCCTGTGGCCAAAGCTGAAGGTAGGGGAAGAGGGGTCTCGCCACAGACTCACACACCCACATATATAGACACAAACATACTCCTGACCTCTGATCTGTCCTGGCCACGATGGTTGCAGAGCTGCCCAATTCTGCTTCATCTTAGTTCTAGCTGGTGGTTCCAGCCTCTGGAAACTTCTTAGTGATGAATCCTTGGCTGCTTGTAGCCTCCTCCTTCCCCTACAACCCCCCCAGGCTGAGATGGCCCAGACCTGAGCTCTGCACCCGCCATGTGCCTTCTGCGATGCCCTCTCAAGTCTCCTCCACATACATTCCAGGGGTTAGTGGTGTCACGTCTCTCTCCTCTTCTCCTCTAATCTAGCTCAATATTTTTACTTTTACTTTTTCATCTTTCACTGCACTAGAAAGGGATCTAAGAAAACATCTAGTCCTCTCTGCCCTCCCCTACTTTGTTGTTGTGCTTAAAGTTGCAGAAACTGAGGTCAGAGAGGAAAAGGGACTTGCCCAGGATCACCGGTCAACCAGAGTCAGGACTAAATTCTAGGCACCTGAGTCTAAGGCAATACAGAATCCTAATTCTGAGCACAGAGAGCAGCTAGAGGCACACTACCCCCGCTCTGCCATTTAACTAGCTGCTTGACCTTGGGCAAGTCATTTCACCTCTCTGTGCCTCATTTTCCTCACCTGAGAATGGGGACGATCAGGGTATCTATCTCACAGGGCTGTTGGGAGGGTTAAATAACTCAATATTCATCAAGTACTCAGCACAGAGTGGGGCACACTCTGTAATAAGTGTTAGCTGTGATTATTTCTACTATGCCCTGGTCTAAGCATCTTCTTGCTTTTTTTAACGTCTCCCTTCTGCTTTCTTAATTCCCCTTCCCCTTAGCATTCTTCTCATTTCCCTTTCTTTAATCCCTGTCCCTGCTTCTCAGGAGGGGAGGGCTGGGTTTGGGAAGAAAGAAAGATGGAGTGACTGCAGAGATTGGAACATGCTTGAGAACCAGCCAGAGCCTGCATGGTAACACACAAACACACAGCCTGCGCATGTTAGTGTAACGAACGCACACCATCCACCATGTGGGTCAGTTATACACATATTCACTCAACAGTCTCTGGGTGTGACAGGCCCACACTCAACCAGCCCAGGCCCTCGTGGCTTCAGAAACATCTTGAGCCCTTCTCAGGTGGATCTCATGCTCAACCCCAGTCCCAGGCAACTCTCTGTCTGGGCAGTGTGTGTCTTCAACTTCCTCAGACTCTGGCTTGGCATTGGGAGTTACCAGGCTGGGGAAGCCTGAGCGAAAATGGGCACCCTCAAAAGGGCTTTGATCTAGAAATATTGAGAGAGACTGTGATGGCCCCCTACATACACACACACACGCCAGTGGCTTGAGTCACAAACTTGAGTGAGCAGCTCACAAACTTGGTCCACATTCACGATGGCGCACCTCGTAACGGTGCAGTGAGGTGGTTAGAGAAATGACTGATACCCATTTTACAGACAAGGAAGCTGAGGCCGCGTAAGAGCAGTGTTTGCTCAAAAGCAAAGATGCAACAGAATTGAGACGCAAACCTAGGCCCCTGCGTCCCAGCCTCGAATCCTTCTCAGTTTCACCGCAGCTGAGAGCTTGGAGCCTAGAAGGCGGCTGAGACCTGCCGGGGTTGGATTCACCGGCCGCTATCCACCCTGTGGGGTCGCGCCAAAGCCACGGCTCCCCTTGAGCGGTCCCCGGGGAGAAGAGGGAAAACGGCCACAGCATGTCTCTTTAATGCGCGTCCCCGGAGGCCCTGCGCGCCCCCGCCACTATAACCGGAGCGCATGGAGCAGGCTGAGCTCAGAGGAAGAAGGGCGGGCACTGGGCACCCGTTGACCGACTTTTCCAAGTGCGATCAGCGCCCGTCCGGCCCACGTCTTTCCCCCATGGACCCGCCCGTGGGCGCCCACAGCTGAGGACCCGACGCCCCCTGGGCTCCGGGCCGGGTTGCACCCCGCCGCCGCCAAGTGCCCCCCGCGGGCTGTGCAAGCTCCCCGCGCCTCTGCCCGCGGCGCTCGCCGTCGGGCGAGGGCTCCGCCGCCGCCACGCCTAGCGCCCCACGCTACCCGCCCCATGCTGGTGCACACTTACTCCGCCATGGTGAGTAGTCTCGGGTCCGGGGGCAAACTGGGCCCAGGGACCGGGGAGCCTGAGTGCTAGACCTACCGAACCTCCACCTCCAAGGAAATCTCGGAGGGAGGGGGCCACAGCGTCTCCGCCAGCTGAGAACCGTGCGCGCAGGAGACTGCTGTCTCCAGCCCGAGGCTCCGGCGCCCCCAGGTCGCTGAGAAACAGACCTCGGGCCCCGGGGAGCGGGCAGGACGGCGCTTGGACCCTCGCGAGCTGAGGAGGGTCCTTTCGGGCTGGGGTCCTTTCAGCTGCCTGTGGGTCGCGTAACGCGCCCCTCTCCTTCTCCAGGAGCGCCCCGACGGGCTGGGCGCAGCGGCTGGGGGCGCCCGCCTGTCGTCTCTGCCCCAGGCGGCCTACGGGACGGCGCCACCGCTCTGCCACACGCCGGCCGCCGCCGCCGACTTCCAGCCGCCCTACTTCCCGCCGCCCTACCCGCAGCCGCCACTGCCCTACGGCCAGGCGCCCGACGCCGCCGCCGCCTTTCCCCACCTGGCCGGGGACCCGTACGGCGGCCTGGCGCCCCTGGCACAGCCGCAGCCCCCACAGGCC